TAATTTTATTTCACCTATTTTGCATTTTGAGGGTGCTGGGTGGCCGAGTGGTCTAAACTGAGCAAATCTCAAGTTTCGGGTCTGGAGCCCAGTCAAGCAAAAACATCACCTTGGACGGCAACTCATCAGAGAGAAACTCTGAAATCAAACCCGGAGACGGAGTCCCGAAAATGTTTCATACAATGAAACATTCAGACAACTCCTGCTACGTCACTGGTGCCAAGCTGCATCATCCAATGATGTTCCCTTGGGTTGCCCAGCGGCGTGGAGAGAGGCGATTGTTGGGAACCAGCCTTTCTTGAAGATCCCAGGCCATGTGGATTTCGTCCCCCGATGCCCACTCCATCGTCACATTGTGACGGACGGATGCCAGCATTTTGCATTTTAAATATCATATTCTGAAAGACAAAGAGACAATTTAAAAAAAAATGGTCATTACAGTTTATTAACTAAAATTTCTAACAATCATTGAACTTATAATCTTCAATTACTAGACCAAATTGTGTACTTTGTTACTTTATGAGCTTCAAAGTTGCAAGCCCCAATTGTGTAAATTGTTACTTAATGAACTTCTAATTTACTAGCCCTAATTTTTGTGAAATCTTACTTGATGAACTGTATTAATTGTTATTAGATAAAGGGAGTTTATTCAGTTCATTGTGTAATTCATAAATTGTTTTTCTTGATATCAATACAGTACGTTTTTAAAAGGAAAACTGAGTCAACTGCTAATGAGCAGGTTCAGTTCTGTTACTTCTGGAACCGATAAAAAGGAGATGCATGCAAATTAGGTCTATGGAACAACCCATTTTGGATTGCGATAAAATTAGTTTATAAAAGATTTCAGTTTTGGAATAAATACAAATAACGTAATTAACAACGTGGTTAGTAGTTAGTAGAAGGAAATTGGAACAGCGACCAAGAGGCTGATTCTTTTGTTTTGATTAATTTTCCTGTGTTAGGCTAACAGCAATATTTCTTTCCATCTTAAGAAAACAAGTGACTGTCTTGAAGAACTAAAAAAAAACTGATGGCTTTAGGGTTTTTAGTTTTGCCGTAGAATTAAACAGACTGTGGAAAACTTTGTTGACAATGCTCATGTTTCTGCTGCACCAAAAATGAATTGCTATTTTTCAGCATTGCGTTGAAACTGAAATGGTTACTTACGATAAAGATATAATGTGGAAACCTTTATTAGGTTTATTAATATATAAAGAAAAATCTAGGACTTTGTTACCTTTGTTAAATATATATTTAAAAAAAACAATTTTTGTTTTTTTGTACCCAAAGTGGTATGGTTAAAAAAATGTTAAAATTAATTATTACTTGCTATACCATATACGTATAATAATATTTCTCTCATGAAACACATGCCTTGTTTTTGTTACGAACAGATTATTGCATGAGCAGTTTAATAGCTTCGTTTTGTCTAGGGGTAATTAGTAACAACACAAATATCAGTATTTGATATGTTTTTTTAATAATAAAAAAAACTCCACAACCTGCCATCTCACCCCCACTACCTCTCAGCAACTCTCTAACTAACAAACCCATAAAAACGAATAACGTCATCTCTAACAACAAAACGGGTAACCAATAACCACACAGCAACAGCTACACAAATAATCTCCACAACAAATACGCCGTTAAAAAGTCTAGTATAAAAACACAAACCAAACACGCAAGCATTAACACATCATTAATAATTTACTTTAGATTAATATTTTAAAAAAAAATGAATGTCTTTTAATTTTATGAATGTCTTTTAAAAGTTGAACAATTAATACAAATGTTGGTAAAATTGCCTTAAAATTTATATGTGTTGTGAAAAAAGATACCGTGGATGGGCATATAAGAAATTTTAAATTAGGTCTCAATAATTATTTTCTGGCTTCTACCTTTATGTGGTATACAGACGTATTGTTAAAAAAAAATAGCACTATAAAAACCTAAATTTTTGGCTATACAAATCTAAACAATAATTAATCCAGTTGTAAAAAATAGATGCTCTATTCTAATGTACTAATACGAAAATCATTGGCATTAACAAAACTTGAGTTCACTTACATAATTATATCCATGAAAATTAAAACCCAATCATTTTACACAAATGAAAGTTTAATTTTCAAAATAGAGATGGGTTGTGATTGTCTTAGACAGATGGATGATAGATAGATTGACAACAGACAGACAGACAGATTAAGCAGATTAGACAGATTAGATTAATATATATATATATATTATATATATATATATATATATATATATATATATATATATTCAGATAGATAGATAGATAGATAGATAGATAGATAGATAGATAGATAGATAGATAGATAGATAGATAGATAGATAGATAGATAGATAGATAGATAGATAGATAGATAGATAGATAGATAGATAGATAGATGACAGACAGACAGAACGCTTACTTGAATAATTGTTTATAAGGTATATTTTATTCGGTAAACAATAGCCATACATATGTAAACAATAATTATTATTGTATGTATGGATGTATGTATGTCACAGTATGCGCTGCTTTACAATTCAACCGATTGCGATAAAGCTTTTGTGAGTTGTGCAAATGCTCGCATGATTTTCAGGATTATTACACACATTTGACAATATTTCTTTTTGGGCCCGGAGCTTTTATTAGCTTAATATAATTTCCGTATGCGCTCCTATACCATTCATCCGACGGCGATAAAACTTTGGGATGCTGTTGTGCGAACGCCCGCAAAGGTTTCTCAGTAAGTTATCCAGTTTGATATATTGCCTATGGAGCTGGGTGCCCTAAATTAATATTTTTCTTACAAGAGCTATACAAATATAATTTAAAACAGAGCTATTGCATGAGTGGATGGAACTGAATCAAATACAAGTGACACTTCAGTTTGTGTGTGACAAAAAAATCAGGTTTCTGAATTATTACAACTATTTTACAATTTTGCGTTTCGCGCGGGGCCTAATATTTTTATTTGAGCTATATAAATATAAATATAAATTGAAAGAGAGCTGCTGCATGGGTGGATCAATCGCTAAAAGTGTATGGACTAAATTTAAAAAAAATCCATGCTTCTCAAGTGGTCAGTTGTACGTTGACTGCACTTGCGTTGAAAAATTTTGTTTACGCTCTAGACGGAAAAAAACCAAAACAAAATATTTTCAATTGAAAACTTATTTCAATAAACGTAATTAAAACACAAACACTTTTTTTTTATTTGAGTAACATTCAACGCATGCCAGGTTCTCGCTAATTTTATATTAATGTTCTTATGTCCCATCCATTTTAACGAAGCAGATTGTTTTCACCAACAAAAGATACTATTACGCACCAAAAGCCTCTCATTCAGCTATGTTATCGGGAATTTTATTTTGTGAAATCAACGACATTATTTCTTTGATCTTCCCCTTAAAAAGCATAGAAAAAAAGAGTGGTTTGGGGGGAGGTGGAGCTGAAAATTTGATAGAATGCGTTGTCATCGGCAACGAGTCTATGTTCCAAGTTTCAGCGGGATAGTTTTGGGTGAACTGGATCAATTAGCCGTTCGAAAATTTGCCCGCCAGCCACGAAAAAAGCGAAGTTAATATAAATGATTTAATAAGTGTGTAGATCGCTAGAAGTCATTAAAAAACTTTTATACATTAATATGACTGAAGAGCAAATATAATATACTTATTCATGTTGAGTGCGCATCGTTTACAAAAGTAAATGGTGCTTGTAAAAAAAGAAAAACAAATTACAACACATATTTAGAATGATGATAAAAGCCATTGATGTCGTGCCTTAAGAATTTACTCCCAATGGATTTTCCCGTTTAGCACTGAACGATTCTCCATAACCAACTTTTGCAATCTGACCCCTGTTACCCTTTCTGAAATGTTTTAGAATTTTAAAAATGTTATTAGATAATATATGTATACATATATATATATATATATATATATATATATATATATCACTTTATGTAATATTCAATTTGAAGTTTCTAGGATGTTTGAACATTTATTTTTTTCTTTTTATCTTAAAAAAGTTAGAATCTTTTAACAGAGAGCTATATCTTTAAAAAAAAAAAAAATTCTTTTACATTTTTTTAAAAATGTTATTAGATAATATATGTATACATATATATATATATATATATATATATATATATATATATCACTTTATGTAATATTCAATTTGAAGTTTCTAGGATGTTTGAACATTTATTTTTTTCATTTTATCTTAAAAAAGTTAGAATCCTTTAACAGGGAGCCATATCTTTAAAAAAAAAACAACTTCTTTTACATTTTTACTTTGTAGGCATGTTGGAGATTGCAGCCTGGAAGGTACCAAGATTTAATTTTCCAACATGTCTAAGAGTAAATCATTTTAATATAGAAATTTTAATTTTTCAATGGATCTTGACAATAACAACCTCATTGCTATCAAGTTTCAAGTTTCTAAGTTGACTGGATATGGTTAATTGAATCTTTTCTTTTTTGTGATACTTTCTTTTTACAGTTAATTCCTCTCATCTCTTTAATTTGTAGATTATTTGAAATACACCGGGATGAAAAATATTAATTTATGCAACTATACAAATATATTTCGCATACTGAAGAACAGTTGTCTAGTAGATATTAGTTTTTATCAGTATACGTAAGTTAAAGAATAAATGTAACCATTTAAAAGAATGGAGTTGAATTTTCGTTTTGAATTTCTTCTATTCTTCCATATCACAAATAATGTATATGTGCTAAGAACGACAGATAATGCATATGTGTTAGCCCGATCCTACTTATAGCTGATAAATACTATGTTTAACAAGTTATATATAGCCCTCCTTCTTTTCTTATTAGATCAAATGTGAATCGTTCCATTTCACGCTTGCTACGATCGAATGTCACAATTACACTCGAATAGACTTTGAAACAGAAAATTATCAGACATAATATCTTATATATCTGTTATTGAATTTTAAAAAAAAAAACAACACACTTAACGGATGACCTTATGAGTGCCGAAACAAAAAAATCTTTTTCAGTTGTGCTCTAAATTTTGTGTTTAGCGCCACGTAGATGACAAAGTTGCACGAACTGTTGATGTAGTCCGTTGTCGTGACAACCATGCCGAAGATAATTCTAATCATTTGAGCATCGAAACTCGCATCCGAATAGTCAATAATGTATGTTAAAAAAGAAACTATTTTGGTGAGTGAGAATACGGCGCACACTGTCAGTAATGTCACAGTAGTTCGAGACGATTTTGTTGATGATTTCAGAGTCGATGACATCATTTGTTTGCGTTTTCTCCGAGTAACAGCAACACGAACAGCGATAAGAATAGAACCGCAACTGACGACGGCCAAAGGAATGTATTTCCCGAAAGGGGTCGCTAACATAGCTTCAATAAACACGAATGCATCAGTGATGGTGAAATTTACTATGCCAACGACCATTCCCAATGGTTCTAAGAACATAAAAATGAAATTAAACAAACTAGAAATGTAGACGACGTATGGGATCCAGAAGACGAAGGCGAAGATGGCGGCCATCCATATACGTGTCGTTGTCACGATAGTTTTGAAGTGTAGCGGATAAAACACGGCTAAAAGGCGTTCTACGGTGATCAACGTACAGATGGCGGCGCTTACTTGTACACCGAAGAAATAGCAAGCTTGGAACGTTATCGTCAAGACGTACAGCATGAACGATATCTCTCTTGAAAACTCCCACACGAAATACCCGATATTCGGTCGATGGATTGGGAATAACGTGATCAAATTCGGAATGTTGATGGATCCCATGAGGCAGAACGAGTCGGCGACAGCAAGAGCGAGCAGCAATATGTGGGATGACTTGTCTAATCCTGATTTCACTAGGACGACAGCGCTCAAAATGTTTCCCACAAGGCCGGTGACGCCGATGATGGGGTTGACGATAATTTGAGAATACCACTGAATTTGTACCACTAAAACAGCCAATTTATTACTAACTGTTGATAAACTACTGATGATAGTTTGTGTTTCTGGTATATTGGGTACGGAAAATTCTGCTGCAAGAAATGAACTATTTTTCTGATAATATTCCATTATAAAATAATGAGGCCTAATCTTTTATAAAACTATTTCTCTCTTACAGGTTCAACTTATGTAGTCTGCATCAAATTCTTTAGTTTTTCCACCTCAAGCTTAACGTTCCAAGTCTAGTACCAGTCTGTGAGATATTTTCATTGAAATTCTCGAATGGTTATGTATGTGTCCAAACTTGTACAGTACTGCTCTGAAATAGAACAGCAACGTTATGACAAGTAGTCGAGCACTTAAACATACACAGTGTAATACATCAGTGTAGTAAGACAGAACAATATCGCAGCGGCAGTTTGTGAAATTGGTTATTTTATGAACTTTTCCCACTTGAATGGCATCGACCACGTCTAGCGCTTCGCTTGATTAAAAATGTATTAGTTATTATTTCCCATTAAAATAATAAACCTCCAAATTTTAAGAACGAATTTTTGTAGAAGCTACAGCGGTTGACATTTGGTAAATTTAAATATTTTTTTAAAAACTAAAAGACACGGTTATAAAATTGCACACTGTATTAGATAGTGTCCAGCTAAAAGTATCGAAAGTTTATTATTTATTCGGTGGCTAGGTCTGAAATGGTTGTAAAGATGTTGTTTTCGCAATGTTTCGGAGAGAACTTTGTAATCCATTGTACACCCCCCCCCCCCATAAAGATTGATAACTCTATGTGACAAGGGAGGTAATAACGCCAGTGGCAGTGCCCTATATAACGTATGTATATCTTGCATAAATATACACCTGAGTTGCTATCTCAGTTTCTAAATTGTCTTTAAAATAAAATACAGAACAGCTTCAGTTAAAGAAATGGCTTGCTCTTGAATAATATAGAATCAAATATAAAGGTATCAAAGAATCCACTCTTTTGTCTGTTATAATCATTATTTAAAAAAACGAAAAAAAACTACTTTTTATTTTTACAATAAAAATTTTTTTTTTATAGATATTTAAAGACTTTCAGCTCGACTTTAAAAAAAAAAAATAATAATTGTTTTAGTTTATTTATTTGCTTGTTTCTAAATTGTTAATATTACTTATGAACATTTGAATTTTTGGACAACTACTTTAACCGTTAGTATTGTTTTAATAAATGAGATATAATATCGGTCTGCACTTTATATTTTTAATAGAATGCAATTTTTACTTCATTTTCTCAATATAAAAGTGAGCTAGGTGTCTTTTAAAGGAACAATGTTATATAAAACTATGTTAAGACATTTGTTATCAAGTCGTGGGTAATAGAAATCTGAAAACAAATTTAATACATTTACAAAATAAATTTGAGTTTTTCAATGTCAAAATAGTCATTTTTTAAAGTGAAGATTTGAATCTAAACATATACTTTACTAGAACATTCCAGCTAGGAGTTTTTATACAAAAATGATCTAAAGTAACATTTAAAGGCCTTGTCACTTTGACATTTATAGGCAAAAGTGTTTGCAAGTTGAATTAAAATCATTGATGATTTACATATAAATATTCCATATAGAGAAACTTTCATGTCTAATTTAAGAAACAAAATGAAAGTGGATTCCTAGATAGTTTTAATGATTAAGTTTGCGATTCTACTTTCACTATAGATACTTGTTGGAATAAATTGGAGTAAATATAAAACTGTGAATGGCATTGACTTTTAAGCTTGAAAGCGTCAAGTGTTAAAAGTAGGGTGATTACGAAAATACACACAATCCTTTTGAAGAAAGCTTAGAGAAGCTGATATATTGATGAAATAAGCACGAATCAAGATAATCTGAAAACCAATGTTTAACGTCGCAGATAAATATCTTCAAATTTGATTTGCCTTTTACCAATTATGTCCTTATTTTGGAGATCTGCACATTGGAAGGCCTGAATATTGATAGAACAGGAAACAGTTTGTGATCACAGATATTACAATCTCGAAGTACGCAAATACACATTTGGAAGATGTGTCAATGATCTTTTGGGGGCGTTTCCACAGTTGAGTCCTTTTAAGTGTTTTCGTTTGAAGTGAGGTGTTACATCAGCTAACATGATGATTTAATAAACAAGAGTTGTTTGACTTCAGATAAAAATTCTAAAACGCTACTTTGTGTTATATTTGAAGGAATTTGGTAGAATTTAGTAATTGTTTAACATCAAAAAATCGTTTTAAAGAATAGATACCTTAATCTTCAACTCGTATCGAAATACGCGGGTTAAAATGGTTGATCATGAAAGGATTTCTGACATCTTCGTACGATTACAATGATTAAGCATTACAAATAAAGATTTGCTTGTCGAAACCGTACGAACTTGGGAGGTAACGATGAATAGTTTGCTTTTTACGAATTGGGTTCATTTAAATAAACGATAGAGATTACACATGCTACAAATTTAATAATAAAACTAGTGAAATTAATTCTAATTTTGGTTGCATTATCTTAAAGTCAGTGCATCATGCACATTGACAGCTGCTTTTATTTAAATGAGGTAGTGGGGGTCGTATATCTCGGAGAGTTTACTATTTCTTAAATGCACAAGGGAGTGGGATAAATTACACAGTGCAGATATATTAGATTAACTTTGCGGGGCCGAGCCATTGCATTTTATGGCCCCGGCAAGTACGTTACAGGCATGTCTCATCTGCTGGGGTGGGCGGGGGGGGGGGGTTAAATCAGACTCTCAACGTTGTTGGCTGGGGGGCACCCGAGTGACACCAGTCGTTTTTTACTATTTCTTAAATGCACAAGGGAGTGGGATAAATTACACAGTGCAGACATATTAGATTAACTTTGCGGGGCCGAGCCATTGCATTTTATGGCCCCGGCAAGTACGTTACAGGCATGTCTCATCTGCTGGGGTGGGCGGGGGGGGGGGTTAAATCAGACTCTCAACGTTGTTGGCTGGGGAGCACCCGAGTGACACCAGTCGTTGACGTCGGGCACTCGGTTAGTAGGTGCTTGACTGTTTCCATCGCCTGTCCACTGTGACGGCAGCACGGGTCTTGACGTAGGTGTAACCTATATAAGTAGTTACGTGTAGGGCATGCTCTCTTTCATTTGAGTTATTATAGTCTGCTTGTGGTGTTTAAGACACCACTATTGATCTGTCGAGATAGGGGCCGTCTGTGAAGACTTAAACCACAGCGCTCTTAAACGATTTGATAGATTGAAATGCGGCCCCCTTTTTCTCATATTGTTGACTCAACTTTGTAACTGCTGTGTGCAAGGGTCAGACGGAGATCTGACGGTTCGCAGTCATCTTGTGGTAATATCTTCGTTATCAAGCGTATTTTCTCTCTGTTTCCTGGAAAAGGATGCTTATACTCTTGTGAATAGACGCGTTCATAAAGGAGGGTCTCTTGAGCCTTGTCCGCCTTACCCACCAGCCTTGTGATGTAAAACAGGTCCTTTTCATTCGACGGTACCGCTCCACTGTCGTTAGGATGGCATTGTCCCGCCTATTGCTTAGTGCTTCTATGACTGATAAAATTTCCACAGCAGCCGTAGTTGTAGTACGTCGCACCCAGTGTTCAAATCGCTGGTAAACAATGAGTATACTGTTATATCTGCACTTACCACCAATCTCAATTTCCTGTATTCCTGTATCTTAGTGAGGTCCACTTGAAGCCAGCTCTGCAATTTATCGACGGAATAGTCCGAGCTCCAAGTTACTAAATCAACTGCAAACAGTGTGTTCTTTGTTACAACATGTGGTCATACACATACGCCAGGAACAGGATGCAGCTCAAGGCGGACACCTGGGGGAGTCCGTTCTCGAGTTTACACATGTCCGAAACTTTGTCCACGACACGGGTGGATATTGTGCGGTTTGATAAAAAAGAATATATCCACTTTTGCATATTGGCGGTCACTCCAAGTTTTTAGATCTTGCAAATAAAACCTATTCTCCAAAATTTGCCGTAAGCTTGCTGGAGAAAGAAACATGCAACAGTATGATTTTTTTTATCTGGAGCTTTTTGATAGTATTTTGGATGCATTGTATTACTTGGTACATAGGCTGCCTCCCATTGTGGAAGCCGCCTTGGTTGGTTGGGATGTTCTTGGTTTTTTACAAGAACCTATAAAGTGTTGCGTTGATCATTCGGTCTGCTACTTTCTCCTTGCACGAGGTGATGGAAATTGTTCGACGGTTGGTCAATTGGCTTACTTTCTTTAGGGATTGGGACAATCATTACTCGTTGCCACGCCTTTGGCAAGAAGCTTGTTGTCCAGGTTTTGGTGACAAGGTTTAAAAAGTCTAATTTTTGCCTTTTTGTCGAGGTGTTTGAGCATTTTATTACGGACCCTGACTGGGGTTGGCGCTTTTCCTGTTTTGCACTTCCCTGGGGCCTTTAGCAACTCGGCCATTGTAAAAGCTGCACTAAATACCTCTTGGTGAGGTCCATTTCGTTGGGCTATACTTCCAGCCCTACGGAGTTTCGTCGGGGGGGGGGGGGGGGGGCTTTTGTCAGTCTCTCCGGCTTTTTTCACTGACGGAAGCAAATTTTTTGTAGCGCATTGGCGCGTTTAGCACAGTTAGCCTCTATGTGAGCCGGTTTTTTTTAGAGGTGTGATGTTTCTTCGCTTACCCATGCCAGGGAGGTTATCCATTAACTGCCAGACCTTTATTCCATCCGCAAGGCTGGCGTTCTCACACGTTTTTACCCACTTTGACTTTTTTGCCTTAAAGATTTCTGCACGAACTCGGACCTTCAAGAATTTTTACGCTGCTTGAGCTGCATGTGTTTTATTTTTGGCCACATTCCTTCGTGCTTTTGCTCGTTTGTCCACCAGCGCCTTCAGAGTTTTGTTCCAGTACTGTCTGAAGGTTTGTCTAGCATTTTAGCATGGATTTCCGCAAGCGTTGCTTTCGTCTCTTTTTCGTACTGTGCCCAATATGCTTTCTGAAACTGTCAATGCCTTCCCTGTAAGCGTGCCTTGGTGGTGGTTAACAAAATTCTGAGGAGGATTGGTTTATGATCACTTCCAACTTCATCCAGGACGACAACCAGCCTGAGCTTGGACTCGAGGTCCGCTGCGATTAGCGTCAAATCCCGACGAGACTCCGTAATGTGTCCCTTACATAAACGCGTGGGCACACTGTTTTCGTCCAGTAAACGGATGAAGTTTGTTGCGAGACACAGATCCTCCACGTAACGCCCAGACGCGTTACGATCAACATACCCCCATTCAGAAGATTAGGCGTTAAAGTTAACTGCTATGATTTTCCTCTAAAAAGTTATGCTTTCGCCTATGGGCAGGCTGATCGTGTTACTGTGTTTGTTATAAACATTGGCATTTTTAAATTACTGGTTGTTCTTTTAATAATTCTGATGGTGAGGATGTCGGTACCTTGGTACGACTTCGTCACAAGCAGCTCCATCGGTAGGTCATTTTTGACCGCTGTGGCCAGCTGTTGGCATTGCTTACACTTGCAGGGGTACACGGAGTAGCCCGTTATGTAGAACGACTTACCTATTAAAAGTGTTTCCTGGAAGAGTGCTACGTCCATGGCCCACTCGTGGAGCAGCTTGGTGATCTTCCTTCCATTATGTCTGAAGCTACATACGTTCAATTGTAATATCGATAGGTTTAAGGGGAGGGGGGCACCCTTGGCGCCACTCACGCCATTTCCAGTATCTCTATCTACCGCCAACCAACCTGTCCCTCAACGTTGACAAAAGATGATTTTGGATATCCAACCCAGGAACGGTTGCCTCGTCCCTCACCAGCCCGTCCCAGGACACTAACGAAGAGGGCCACTGTCTGAGTTGCCAGATCCTCTAATGATAGTCTAATCGTACTTGCCATGAGCGGTGTCAGTCTGGGACGTTGACTTCCACCTCTTAGGGATTAGGTTTTGCATCGCCTAGTCCCCTCTCCTAAAGAGTCTTACCATCTGTTTGGACAATTTGTGCCGGGGTTTCTTCGCTTCCGGTGATAGATCGCGCCGCGTAGAGGCAAAACAATTTCGAGCACTGCAAGCAGCAAAGCTTTTACGGCTCCATGCAGATTTGTTTCCCCTAGTCCTATTCCAGGTTAATCAGCTTTAACTATTTTAACTCAACAAAAAAAAAAGTATATTTAAAGAGAAAAAAAATTCAGCAGAACACAGAATTTCATGTTAAAAACAATTAATTATTTTTTTTCTTCCAAGATGAAAAAATAAATTAAAACAAAAGCCGGCTAAAAGATTATAGGTTGGCACGTCATGGAGCTCCTCTCACAGAAGTAGCCATCCTGGCACGATGTGGTAGCCGGCACACCCAGTAATAAGGTTGTCATACAGCTCTCATTGGCGCCTGTGGAAACAAAATGTTTAACCTAAAATGTATTTCATGTTTGAGGAAGGGCTCTAATTTAACTTTTAGAATATCTGACTAAATAAATTCAACTGGAAACTCGATTATCCGGTTTCTAGTGACCGGGACTGATGCACTTTGTATATTAAGAATTGTGTGTGTCCTAGGTGCGGGAAAATTTTCAAGGCACTAAAAAGAAAAGAAAGTAACCATTGAACATAGACTTCAGCAACTTCGCATGCAAAGGACGAACAACCAAACATAAAGAATACACAAAATCAATTACACACACATAAGTAAAATACAAGTAGTGTTAAACCACATCAAAATTTGAGATTAAAAAAAATAAAATATTCTTTTCCGAGCATTATTTTTTCACGATATGACCACGTTTTTTTATAATGATATTGCCGGGTAACAAATTTAGAATTCTGATACGGAAGTTTCTTTTGTAAGTTTCTAAATAAATTTTCGGAGTTTTATTTTTAAAATTTTTCGGCGTGTTATTGGTGCATATTAAAATAATTTCATAAATTAGAGCATAAGCATACAAATGTTAAACACTCTAAAAATGTGTCAGCGATTTAATGATCCAAATGGGGTAAATATGAAAATCTTTGGGGCATTTCGGAATGATCAGACAAAAAATACAATTTATAACAACGAGCTTATTTTTTATTACGACATACATTTTGCGCATGGCAGCACTGCACCCGGCTAGTTTCATAGAGGGACACTCCCGACATGTTGTGCAAAGCCGTCACGTGTTTTTTTAAGGCTCTCCTGTCACTCTNCCCCCCCCCCCCCCCCAACCTGCATTCAAAGTTGAGAGTTTACATTTATTCCACATCACAACTTTGATCCCCTTTTATTTACCCAGGCCCATCGCAGCAGCAGGGTTTGCATGGCCCACGCGACGGCTCTGATTCTGAGGTTAGTAGTGCTCACAGGTTAGAGCAACTGTAATTCTTATCTGTTTTAAGTCACGTTCGCCTTGTTGGCCCACTATCTTGCGCTACAAAAAATTTCGTGATTTATTACTTTATTTTATCGCAGTTATTTTATACAATTTATAAGGATCGTGTTCTCCGTTTAAATAGATTCCATCAACAAATTTAAATGTATCAATAGTCTAGGGGTTCTTCCGATTTCAAATCCGACCCGTTTGCATCAAGGTAAAATATACATAAATAGTTCGGCCATTGACAGCAAATGAACCTCTGATATACAATCAATTAAAGAAATTTATAAAATGATAATGAGTGATCTCCTTTAGACGTCTGACTTACCAGGATTTTAAAAATTCCTACCCCTTCAGCATATCATTACATCGAAACTAAAACAAAACCGTTTTTTATTTACATGAAATAATATGGTTTTAATATATTGGTTAAAATTAGATTAAGTGTAAAGTAACAACCACCAGCTTCTCATACTATGCTAACTGCAGAATCTCCGGTAAGTTACATTGTATAGCCTGCATATCAAAGTGCCATATTAGGTGTATGAGTTTATTATCAGTTTAACATGAAATATACTCAGTGGCGTAGGAATAGGGTGTGCGCAGGGGCCGGTCCAACCCATGCAGCACTTTTTCTTTTTTTATGGAGGGTGCGACATTTTTGGCCAAATGCAGATTTTTGTTTCGTGAAATAGGGACCGCAAATATATTGCCAGCAACTTGCAGCACTCACCCTTGAAACGCCACTGATTTTATTACACCGATTTTGTATTTTGAATATCTTATAATATAATGTTCTGACAGACAAAGAGACGGGGTAGTTCTTAGCAATGTTCTGCTTACCAAGTTCCGTGACGCAGGAGTCACAGCACCCACAGAAGCCTCCTCTGGAAACTATTTTGCCATTGCAGTTTTCTGACGTGACGGCCGCACATCTGACTGTGTCGCAGGCGTTTGGGAGGCAGACGATGGCCTCGGTGACGCTGGTCAGGGCAAGGGCTACCAACACAATAGCGAGCATGGCTGGATGGAGAACACGTTGGATTAGAGCACTAAATAAGAAATTAATGATTTTTTAATCTTTTTTTTTTAAAGTATTGAATTTTAAAAAAATAATAAAACTTAAAATATAGTGTTATCCATTAAATTTTATAGGGTGTTGTATTTATTCTCACTCTTCAGATCAAATTTTACAAGCCATTAAAAAGAAAAAAAAAAAAATACTTTATAGGATAATATTACAGTAACGGTAACGTTGTTAAATTTGACATTTTGGTTTTTTTTATTTGATAACTACAAAACTAGAAAACAATAAATGAATCAAATATTTGTACCTGCACATATTTAATAATACTACAGCTGGGCGAACGTATTTTTTTTTTAATTAAAAAAAAATTGAACAAATTTCTTTTTAAATTTTTTATTTTTTTAAATTAAAAAAAAAATTGAATCAAGTTTGAATTAAAACTTAGGCATTTTTTTTCTACATTGAAGAAAAAGTCTCTTTAAAGCAAGATTATATAGTAGTAGAACAAAAATGTATTCCTTTTAAATATTTAATAACATATTATTTTTTTTAGAATATAGCATTTCATCTTTGAGAGTGTAAGAAAAACACATTTACACATTCAATTAAACACAAGCTTTATTCTTACTTGAAATTTCTTGAATTTTCTTTACTTACTGATCTAAGAATAAACCAATGACAGGTAACGACAACTTGGATTGGACAATGAAAATGATACAACGATGTTTCTCTGTTTAATGATCAGGCCCAAGAAACGAGATCACCTTTTTGAAACAACTTGCTATCACTCGTTACATTAGCCGAACAACAACATCTGTTCCTTAGTTTATCTGCTCATAACTTTTCCCACAGTTACCAACTGTACTAAATACATTGTGCGTGTGTCGCTTGACACAGCTGTTTTTGTAACTAGTAGGCTTTAAAGTGACACCTCTTCAAACATGATCCAAATTAAAATTACAATAAGGATTCAATATTTTTTTTTTCTGTTCTTCTGATCTGATAGACTTATTTTTCACTATATATTAAATTTAATGAATTCTATTTTCAAATATTATTTTGTTATGAAATACACTTTACAAAATTAAATGAAAAATCACAGACTAAATGAATTAATCATGCTAGTACATTTATTTTGTCCATTCTTTTGCCATCTAACTCAGAATGGTGACCAGGGCATTGGGCAATCCAATTACCATGGCAAAGCTTTTCCTGCCATAAATTAAGCCTTCAGTTACTTACTTAAACCGCTAAAAAACAAGACAGTAAAAGGAGTACCTATTGATTGTAAGTTGTTAACTTCCATTTACATAAACAAGACTGGAAATTCTTTTTAAATGAACACAAACAACTGCAGATGCCATGTTATGGCATCAAAGAGAAATTGCTTCATTTAGGGAAATTACTAACACTGAATGGACATCTAATCTAGATGACCTTATTATGGGAGCCGTTACTTGAATGAACTTCTAACCCACAAGCTCCAATTGTGTGAAATGTTACAGCTTTGTTTTGGTCTTTTAAGTTTCTCAGTAGAATTAATCAGGCTGTGGCAAACTTTGTTGACAATGTTCAGGTTTCTGCTGCAGCAATATGAATGATTATAACTCAATATTCCAATATGGTATTGTTTTAAAAAGAAACAGTGTCAGAATTATTTATAACTTGTTATACCATTGGCTAATAATAATAACATTTCTCTCATGAAACACTTGCCTTGTTTTTGTTACGAACTACAAAATGCATAAAAAGTTCAATGGCTACGCGTAGTCTAGTGATAATTAGTGACATCACCTCGATGTATATTTGATATAGCTCTTTATTCAACAAAAAATCTCTGCAGTGTGCCTTCTTCCTTCAACTATCTCTCTGCATCTCACTAACTACCAAATTCATTACATTGTAGAACTTGTCAACTCTCATACCCAAACACGTCACGATACAAACCACACAGCAACAGTTACACAAATAATCTCCACACCAAGTACGCTCACTAAAAAAAATGCAGTATAAAACACGAAACAAACAAGCACTCACTGAACAAATCAAAAACATTTTCTTTAATTTGTTTTTTTTTTAATTAAAGAAAATCTATTAAAATGGTTTGTTTTTTAAATTTATGAATGCATTTTTAAAAGTTTTTACAATTTTGGTAAGATAGCGTTAAAAGTTTATATGTTTTGTGAAAATATATACCATTGATGGATGTTTTAAACATTTTAACGTATGTCTTAATATTTATTTTTCTGCTTCCATCTGTTAGTGGTATAATTACATTTTGTAAAAATTTAGCACACCCAAGACAAAATCTTTTGGACATAAATCAAAACCAGACTTAACTGTGATCTAACAAGTTTGTATCAATACTGCATGATTCATTTCAGAATCCAATGCTATACACCACGTTATGAATGCCATCGTCTTCATTGAACAGTTGTGGGGTATTATTATAAAACTTATAATAAGTGAAATGTATTTCACAAAATGAGTGTGCTTGTAAAATGCGGGAATATGTGCATATTCTATAGTGATAAATTCAGATGAAGCTACATATATCCACCATTTATCATGAACTTTATGTAGCATCATCCTATTAATCTTTTAAACTGTTTTGGGGGAAACAAAGCGTATGAAAAATCAAAGGGACCTAATAATATTGACACTTTCGTTTCAACTTATTTCACTAGTGACGTCCCAGTGGGGGCGGTCAGTAATCCGCTAGCGAATTTTTATTATTATAGATTGCAACATTTGAAAACAAATCTTAACATAGAAACTCCCCCCCCACCCCACTTTTGCCCCCTTTCCACACATTTTTTAAAAACATAATTCAGTTTCTGTCTCAGAGACTTGATTTCCCACACTAAAAAAAAAAATTCTTCCCCCCTTTCACACATTTTTTAAAAACATAATTCAGTTTCTGTCTCAGAGACTTGATTTCCCACACTAAAAAAAAAAATTCACTTAACCCCCCCCCCCCCAAACCCTTTTTAAATTTTTACGTCGTTGGAAACACCGCAAAACTAATCCCCAGAATTGTCCCGTTACATTACCACCTGATGGGCAGCTTCCTCCCGTAATCTTATATTCCTTTGGATCAGTGGTTCTTAAACTTTTTGGAGGTAACGAACCCCATCAGTTTCACATGCGCATTCTCCGAACCCTTCTTAATAGGAAAAATAAAGTATGCTCTTTTTTCCGATTTTTTTTGAGGACCTCAGCCGAGCCCCTGAGACTGACTCACGAACCCCTGGGGTTCGATCGAACCCAGGTTAAGAACCACTGCTTTAGATCGACATAACTACATTTTTAACTTTACTAGCAATTCATTTGTTCAACGTTGGTACATATAAAAAAGTAATAATTATGTTAAACAAAGGACAATTATAGTATCATTGTTTTAAAGAAATCAAATTAATGTAAAGCATAATATAGTGGCAGCCAAGCATCAACGTTATCGTTTCATATGCACAACACAGTAAACAAAAGCCACACTTAATTGGTATGGCCTCAAGCTGTCCATCAAAAAGGTGACCCACATTGATATTCAAAATGTCGCTCATCAGAGTCTCTTTTGCCATTAAAAATAGTGGTGATATCCGTGTTCTTAATACAGCACTCAAACTAAAAAATATGAAATAATTTCAACATATGAAACCAACTGAAATCACCGGGATATCAACATGGAGAGTTGACCAAATCTTTGTTTTTTTAAACATTTAAAGGAACAATTATGTCGAGTTCATCAAACTAATCACACATGATATAAAAGAAAGGTATCTAGATAAGTTATTGTTATTAAAACGTTGATGGTTAATAATGTTTTAAGACAAAAATAATGATAAACATTTTCATGTTGAGTGCGCATCGTTCACAAAAGTAAATTGTGCATGTACAAAAAGAAAATAAACTACAACATTCATATGACGATGACAGCAGATGATATCGTGTCTTTAGGATTTCCTCAAAATGGATTTCATCGTTTAGGTAGGGACGATTCTCCCAACCCCATTTTTAACCTGACCCAACTTTTGCACTATGATCCCATTTTTGCAATATGATACCTTTTTGCAATCTGACCCTTATGACGCTCTCTAAAATGTTTAAAAATTTACAAAAATATATAAATAGTTAATATATATATATCTGTCCCCTTCTCTTGTATCCAATTTAAAGTTATTAGAATGATTGAAAATGTCTTTTTTTTACGTAACAAAAAGTTAAAACCATAGCAGGGCCCCTCTAACGCTAAAAAAATGTGTACATTATTTATAGCCATGTTGGGGATATCAGTCTGGAAGGTACCAAGGTTTAATTTTCTATGATGTCTTCGAGTGCCTCATTAATTATCTTCATTTGTTGATTGTTCACCCATTATCTTGACCCCGGGGAATTTATAAATTAGAATTTTACATTTTTCTAGGAATCTTGACATTATCAAATTAATTGTTGTCAAGTTTCATGTTTCTAGGTTGACTGAAAGTGGTCTATTACTTAATGTCTTTGTAATTGATCTAGACATACATATGATACATATCGCCACACTTCCTTTCATAGCAAGGATGTTTGCATTTGACTCCTCGGTCCAATTTAAAGATATTTTAAATTAACTGAACAAAAAAGATTTAAAATATTGATATTGCTATGAACAATACAACTTCGCATAATAAAGAACAGTTGTCTTATTGGAAAAAAATATGACTTCTTATACTTAAACAAATGAATGTAAACCTATAAGAGAATGGAGTTACCTTTACGATTCAAAGTTAGTCGTTTTTGCCATAACAAAGATAATGTATAAGTGTTTAGATAGACCGATTCTTCTTATCTTGAAAATAATGTTAACCTGGTTATGTCTACCGATTGATACATAAATTCTTATAGCACAAATGTGTATCAGTCAATATCATGTCTCCTTCGATCGTAGGAGGATTACACACTCGTAGCCATGTAAATGGAAAATTAAAAAACATTGCATCTCATCTGACTGTTTATAAATTTGTTTAAATTTCCCAATTTACTCAATTTGCGAACTTGCGTGCGCCGAAACAAACCAACTCTTTAAGATGTGCTCGAAAGTTTTTGTTTAGAGCCACGTAGATGACGAAGTTGCACGAACTGTTGATGTAATCCGTTGTCATGACAACTATGCCGAAGATATTTCTAACGACTTGAGCATCGAAACTCGCATCCGATTGGTCAAGAATATAAACTAAAAAACCAACTATTTTAGTGAGTGAGAACACGGCGCACACGGTCAGCAATGTCACCGTCGTGCGAGACGATTTTGCTGACGCTTTCAGGTTCGATGACATCATTTCTTTGCGTTTTCTCCGCGTAACGGCAACACGGACAGCAATAAGAATAGAACCGACAGTGACGACAGCGAAAGGGATAAATTTACCGAAAGGGGTCGCTAAATTAAATTCAATAAAAATCATTGCATCGGTGCGGGTAAAACTTATTAAACCAACAACCATTCCCAGTTGTATTAAGAACATAAAAATGAAATTAAACAAACTAGAAATGTAGACGACGTATGGGATCCAGAAGACGAATGCGAAGATGGCGGCCATCCATATACGTGTCGTTGTCACGATAGTTTTGAAGTGTAGCGGGTAAAACACGGCTAAAAGGCGTTCTACGGTGATCAACGTACAGATGGCGGCGCTTACTTGTACACCGAAGAAATAACAAGCTTGGAACGTTATCGCCAAGACGTACAGCATGAACGATATCTCTCTTGAAAACTCCCAAACGAAATACCCGATGTTCGGTCGATGGATTGGGACTAACGTGATCAAATTCGGAAAGTTGATGGATCCCATGAGGCAGAAGGAGTCAGCGACAGCAAGGGCGAGCAGCAATATGTTGGATGACTTGTCTAATCCTGATTTCACTAGGACGACAGCGCTCAGAATGTTTCCCACAAGGCCGGTGACGCCGATGATGGGGTTGACGACAAGTAACGTGTACCACTGAAGATTCACCAACACGTCAAACAATAAATAGCTGTATGTTGGTGAATTGCTACTCATGGTTTGCGTCTTGACTAGATCGGTTACGGAAATATCTGCTGCAGAAAATGAACTATTTTGATGATGATAATCCATTATACAATGATCTGTTGTTTTTTTCGCCCTTAGAAGATTACTTGTGTTGCCTGACTGGAAGTCTCAAGTTTCGTAACGCTTTTATAAACCTGTGCAAATAATTTTTCACTATGTGGAGAAATTGTCATACAAATTATCTAATGGTTAAGCCCTTTCCTTTATTCGCGCTGGTTCTCTCAAATAGTATGCTGAAAACCAGATGCAAACGCTACCACAAATAGTCGATCAATGAAACATTATGTTACAGAGACTTACACAAGTTGATATGAGCGCAACGAGACAGATCAACGTGGCTTTTGCAGTGGCTGCATTGTTTTATGAACATCTCCTACAAGAAGAACATAAACTGTATTTAGATCTCAACTTACTAGTATATGCATTTACGTATATCCTACTATTTTAAAACGAGGACCTACATTTATATTAATTTAGGATGGCAGCTAATTTTAATTTGTTTTTAAATATTAAAAAAAAAATTGATCAGCTTCATTCAACAAAATGAATTTGCCTTAATGCAGATATAATGATGTCAAGGTTGACCTTGATGGAAAGATGTCAAGGTTGGCGTTAATGCAGATATAAAGATATCAAGGTTGACCTTGATGCAAAGATATCAAGGTTGACCTTAACGCATATCCAAAGATATACAAGTTGGCATTGATGCAGAACTAAAGATATCAAAGTTGGCTTTGATGCAGCTTTAAATATGTTAAGGAATTAAGAAATACAAATTATTACCCACCAAAATTAAAAGAAATCTTATGGTTATTAAATACTTTATTCCTAGCTTATTTTAATGTTTCCTGTTACGTTTGATTTTTGTATTCACAAAATGTATCATTTTTGTTATGAGCTTTCAAGATATAAATAATAATGGCATGGATCTAGCGCCAAAGAGTAAACTTTGGTCAAACTTCATATGTTCTACTTTACTTGAACTAGTTCTCTAATATAGAAACAAAATAGAATCGAAGTACTTTAAATATTTAGTATGAAATAGTTTGTGACAAAAATCTGAGCATATATTTAATTCACGTAAAAGATTTTTTTTTTTAGCGTTTCAATGTTAATGTACATTTTTATAGTGAACATTTGACTTTCAACATGATGTATACCGTTTCACTGGTGATGTTATATTGTTTACGACGTTATAGCGGTGAGGCCAGGAGTTTTTATACATGAGAATAATCGAAGGTATAGTTTTAAAAAAAATATCCTGGGTTAAAGCAATGCTAGAGGCCATGCCACGTTGACATTTATTGACATTAGTATTTTAACGGGTAAAACTATGGCCACCGCATATATTAATAAAGGTTTAAAGTTAAATTGAAATAAAACTAGAAGTTCGGTATTTATTTTAAAATCATTTGTCGCAATTTGAACTTTAAATTAAAATGAAAAATGAACGATTATTGTTTAAGATCAAACCGTGGTGAAATTTGAATGCTGACAGTAAGATTGTCACGATGAATTCAATTCAAGACTTAACTCGTGTTAAAAATAATAGTTGGAAATAGATGCAAGTAAATATTCATATTGGATTTTTCATTTGCATAGCGATCTATGAGGGACGAACGAGTCTTTATCGTTGGGCTATTACGACACGGGTGTACACACTGTCCTTCGGAAGAAAGCTTTGAGAAGCTGTCGTATCGGGGGGGGGGGGGGGGGGAAAAAAAAAATGCTATAAGCTACAATCGACCGTTTAAATTTGCAGAAAGCTTTCCTATAATTTTCCCTCTTTACGAAATGTCCTCTTGTTTGACTAAGCTCGGCTCAAACGCATTGGAAAGTCTGAGGAGTACTGATAGCGAAGTATCAGATTAATTTTGTGATCATGGCTATTACCATATCAAATAACCATCGAATGATATGTCACAGATATGTTGACGGTAGTTACCTTGATATGAATTTCTGGTGTTTCTTTTGAAGTGAATTGTTACCATCTCCTAATAATTTTATTTTAAACAAGTTTTATTTTTTTTTTTTAAATCAGTGTTAAACGGACTTGAGAAAAAATATTTCGCATTTGAGATAGTATTTCATAATTTAAGGTACTTGTTAAAAATTCTTGATTGTTTAATGGCGAATAATTTTTTTTTAAAAATCAAATAAAAAAATAAAAAAATACATGCAGTGCAGGAAATTCTTATTTTTATTGAGTCATGCTACAGCCAGTGAAGAATTCATGGAAGACGACTGCTTCTTTATAAAATTTAGAGTTACACTCGCATTTGTATCATGCAGGGGTATTTGGTCTCTCCGTGCAGTTAGGTTTCTTTATGATGAACATAGATCGTAAAATATTGAAATAATTTTTATGAAAAAAAAAAAAAAGAAAAGAAAAAAAAAATCTAATAATAATGGTACTATAAAAAGCATCGTCATCTAATGATAACTACGTAATTGAATTTTTAATCACAGTATTGCATGTACATATCAAAGTGTACAACTATTTAGATTCAAAAGACACATGTAGCAGAAAACATACATTCTTGTTAAATCAGAATTTATTCAAACAGAAAGTTATTTATTTAGATGATAGTTAATTTAAAAAATTATAAAATTAATTAGTAAAAAAGTGACATTTGCATTTATGGAATTATTTTAGTTCAAGATTTTTTAGTAGCTACAATTAAATTTCAAGTCAAAAGATTTACAATAACAAAATAACGATGTACAATGCTTAGTGGCGTTGCTGTCCAGTAGCTATAAATTGAAAGTTCATTTATCCTATACACACATTGTTTGAATGTAATATTGTATTGTCATTTCTTATACATTCTTTGTTTGCACATTCATATACATAAGAAAAGCCAAGACATGCCTTTCTTTCTGTGAGTTTGGAGCGCTCAGAGCCAGCGGGAAAATCTGGCTATTTGAGTCGGAATTGACAACCGTACATTAATTAAACGATTTTAGACCGCACCAGCGAAAACACGAAACTATTTGCGTCTTGTAAACAAGTGCAAACAATAAGGGAACGAAAGATCGTGCAAGATATGTTTTCTTTTTAAATGAAAACGTTAGTCAAACAAGTGTTGAGAGTGGTATGATCAACAAACTTTTCGATTGATTTTTCAACTGAAAGTAGAAAGTGTGCTTGCCAGAACGTGATCAAAAAAACCCGGACGTGGAACAAAAACATCAGAAATGTGTCGGGAGTTTGTAGGGTTTGTTGAATTTACGCATGTAAGAGATTAGGGTAGAGGGAGCAGAACGTGAGGACGCTGATGGCTCCAGAGCCAAAAGAGAGGAGTGGTTTTATGTGGTTTCGAAAGATCGCTGTGAAAATGCAAGAGGGCAGTAACAATGAAATGTGTAGATATTCGGAGTGGAGCGCCGGTACTTTTAATTAAATTCAAAGTAACTGATAACTGGCCGGAAATCAACGAGACCCTGCACGCAATCGAACAAACATCAGGTCATCCTGATTGGATTGCTTGAGTTTTTATCGATAATTTTAAATGATTTATGGCTGACTGGATCATGCATGGCGTGTTTGGACAAGCAAGTTTTCGTATGCACCAATTATTCAAAAAGTGAGGCTTACAACACGCTGATATTTTGGCGACGTTTTGCTCAGAGATAAGATTTCACTCGGACAGTGAATCGCTCAGTTTGTCGGCCCTACAATTCCTGCCAAAACAGAATATCGTCGCCTACAATAGATCGTCCCAGGATGAAGGATGTACGGACCGCGCGGCAACAACAATCACAACGCGCCTGGCGGGGAACATGGATATTGCCAAAAAAAAGTTTTCAACCTGGTTCAATGTATCGACGAGGCCGAATGTCGATAGATATCCAGCGTATCGGCGTCGCAGTATTTTCCAAGTAAGGATTCGAGGAGAAGGCATAGACAATCGATACGTCATGACTTTACAGTCCGTGCTTACTGCTGAAATACAATGTGCACATCAATGTTGAAGATTTTTACGGCCTTGAACTCAATCATATACATCAAGTACATCCCCAAAGAATTTGATTGAGATCAGGACACCGCCATAAGATTTGCCTGCTGGAACTCAGATATAACGATATCGCCATCTACGTCGACGCTCGAGATGTTGGTGTAATTTTTGAAAAGCAAAAATAAAAGAGCGCTCACACGTTACGCGAAGTCTCTCCGTTCACCAACCGAATAAGCAGCGCGATACATTCGTGGAAGGACGTGAAGAAGAAGCTTTGCTTGCAGCAACAACTCTACCGAACTAAAGATGAGTCATTGTTTGAGCAGAACAAAATTGGTGAAGAGGCGCGATAGTAACACCACGCAGACATCCCATAAAACTGCGGTTCTCGACCTATGGGTCGCACGGCCCTTTCGCAGGGGTCACCTAACACCATCTGAAAACATATATGCTCTATCGTTATGAAGTAGAAACAAAAGAAATTTTGTGGTTGGGGGTCGCCACAACATTAGGAACTGTATTAAATGGTCGCGGGATTAGGAAGGTTGAGAACCACTCCCCTAAAATGATGTCTACCTACGAGCTGTCTGTAAACTACACAAATGGCGAAGAGGCGCGACAGTAACACCACGCAGACATCCCATGAAATGATGTCGACCTACGAGCAGTCTGTAAACCACAAAAATGGCGAAGAGGCGCGACAGTAACACCACGCAGACATCCCATGAAATGAGTTCGACCTACGAGCAGTCTGTAAACCACACAAATGGTGAAGAGGCACGACAGTAACACCACGCAGAACTCCCATGAAATGATGTCTACCTACGAGCAGTCTGTAAACCACACAAATGGCGAAGAGGCGCGACAGTAGCACCACGCAGACATCCCATGAAATGATGTCGACCTACGAGCAGTCTGTAAACCACAAAAATGGCGAAGAGGCGCGACAGTAACACCACGCAGACATCCCATGAAATGATGTCGACCTACGAGCAGTCTGTAAACCACAAAAATGGTGAAGAGGCACGACAGTAACACCACGCAGACATCCCATGAAATGATGTCGACCTACGAGCAGTCTGTAAACCACAAAAATGGTGAAGAGGCACGACAGTAACACCACGCAGACATCCCATGAAATGATGTCGACCTACGAGCTGTCTGTAAACCGTGACAAAAGTAGTAACCTCACACAGCTGTCACATTGACGACAAACTTGGACAGCGTGGGTCAAAGTGAACACAACATCCGGTTTCTCAGTTTCGGAACTTGAAGTTTTCTGGCCAGTCGTAGAAATATGCTACTGCGACAGAGTTGAGACTTGTCACAGAGATATATTTATATGAATATATGTGAGATAAGTAATATGGGATTTATTATTTATATAATATACAGAGTATGGGGACTTTGAAAAAACTGGCCAATCAGAGAGAGCACAAAGGATGAGACAAAAGAGAATTGGAATAAAATGGTTTTTAGAATGCAGGAAGATATATAAGAAGATTGAACAGTTTATGATGTGTTGATACGATATGACGCTTAAGAAGTAAAGAAGATTATCCAGAGATGCTAGTAATTTAATTAATGAGATTAATATGATATTAGTTCCAAGTATGTTCGGATTTTCAAGAGATATATTTCGTATTGTGATTGCGCATCATAAATGAGTCAAAATTATTTAACCACTTCGCATCTGTTGGGATTGAAAACGAGATTATGTTTGTGGCAAGACTCCTCAACAAATGATCGTCTCAACTAATGTATCGAATTCATCCTTTGATCGGATAGTCTTTTTGATGTCTGTCGAGGTGTTGATCTACAATTAGAATATAGTCATTAACAAAATAAGACAGAACTCTCGGCACAATTAAACCATGTTTCTGTGCTACATCTATTAAAATAAAGCGAACACTTATTACCCAGAGCGTTTCTTGGATGGATGTTTTGAAAAATGGAACAACATTTAAACAGTGTTTTCTTTCAGTGCTTTGAATCGCTAATTTTTTACCTTTGATTATCATTGATAGCAAAAATAAATGTTAGCCTAGAATTTGTTTTCTAGACGTGTATTTAAACATAAAATTTAATGTCGTTGCTGGTAAAAGTGAAAAGGGAAAAAATTCTGTTAGTTATTTTTAGGTATAAAATGGCAAATAGTTTTCTTGAGGTAAAATAGTTTACATGTGCGCAAAGGCTAAAGCTATTTTAAAACACAATAATACAACTTCATTGTGATCATAACCTTTGTCTTACAGTTCGTTTAAGTGGAAAAAAGAAAAAGAAACTGAATTACGACTTTCCTACTTAAATGAAAACAAATCTGCTTAAATTAAGACAAATCTACTTTAAATTACGTTATTTCTAGTTAAAATTACGGCATATCTACTTGAATTGTGACAAATCTACTTTAAATTACCATATTTCTATTTAATTTACGACAATCTACTTCAATTGTAAAAATGCTACTTTAAATTACGACAGTTCTACTTAAATTATGACATATCTATTTAAATTAAAAACAAATCTTTAAATTATGACATTTCTACTTAATTTTACGACACTTCAACTGAAATTACGACAAATTTATTTGTTGAATTATGACTTATCTACTAAAATTGCGAACAATCTTAAAAGGTCGAAATTTCTACATAAATTATGAAATTTCAATTTAAATTACGATACATCTACTTAAATTACTATCAAGTGCACAAAATAGTTTGAGCCGTTAGTCATAGGTCTGCGTTTGCATGATGTCACACATTTAGTTCTACTTCTAAACATTAAAAATATGAAACCAACTAAAGCATGAAGTCACAGGAGATACACATTATTTGAACCTAGGATCAAATGGTCGCATGAAGTGAAACATACATGTTGAGAAGGACATTGAGTTGCGACACTTTAACAACACATGGTCATTGTATTTGTCCCCTAAGCATGCCCCCATTTTTTAACTAAAAGATGACGTCAGGCGTTTCAAACGCTAAACCATTTAAAAAAAATAATTGAAACTGAATACATGGATAGTAAAAACTTGACGAAACATTTAGAACAGCTATTTTAACAAACACTAACTTTAATGAATAGGTATTTTTATTGTGAATTGAATTTGTCTCGCCAAGCAGCGGCTCGAAGTAGAGACGGGCTAAAGGCACAGCTTTTCTTTCAATTAAGGTCATCAGGTCAAGTTTACTTTAATAAAGAGCTGCTTGGGGTAAGGTCGGGACGATCGGGTATGGCTTGTGATGACATCTTAACCTCTTAGGTACTGACTGAAAAATAGAATGGTATTCGATTATTAGGTACACATGTACTCAACTGTACACATACAGCGCTGCTGCTTGTGTGAACGTGTAAACATTAGTTGTATAGTTCAAATATGAAAGACACGAAAAGGAGACTTGAAAATGTAGATGATCGGATGATTAGAAACGTGTCACAGAGAGGAATATATGGGAGATAAGTAATATGTGAATTATTACTTATATAATATACAGAGTAATGGGACCTCCAGAAAACTGACCAATTAGAGGAAGGCAAGGAAACACAAAATGGAGGTTGAGTGATATGACGGATGATCCACAGTATTTATGTAAGAAGATTGAACAGAAAACTTTTCTGTTTAAAGAAGATTTATAGTGTGATAACACTTACTTCTACCGAGAAGCTAGTATTATAATATTTGTAATACATTTTAAGAGTTCAGATTGAATATGTTCGGCATGAGATGTAGACCTATTCAAAGTATTAACTATTATTATTGTGATCGTCAGCGTATTTAATAATAATAAAGTACAAGTCCCTATCATTTGAACCCCTACGCCTCTGGAGCAATATATAAGACATTGTGATTGTGACAAAACTAAAAAGAAATATTTGGTTAACACTGTTAAAATATGGAAAACGAATATTCCTCTTTAACAAAATTGCTATTACCTCAAGTTAAAGCTTAACTTTTAATGCGATTATGAAAGAAGATTTTTTACAACAGAATAACAATAATTCCTTTCAACCATGCAAGGCCAAAAAAAAAAAAAAAAAAAAAGAATGTAACCCCCCCCCCCCCCCCACACACACACACATTCGTCATTCCTCTCCCCAGCTCCTTTTATTTAAATTAAAAAAAGAAAAATATTTGGCTTATTTTTTTTAAAGCTGAAATATGAGCTGAACTTCGGATCTTGAATTTTTTACAAAGCATTAAATAATTCACGCTACGAATGAAGTGACAATTACTTGTAATATAAAAGTTTCTAGGATACAGTTTCGGTAATTCCTTTTTTACCCCCTCGTATATTTTCACTAAAAAATCCAGGCTCTATCTTTGGCCTCAAATAATTCAACGTGAGCGAGTGACTTACTTCATATAATTGTGTGAGGTGATGTTAGCCTTTCAGGAGGCATGCTTAACGCGGGCACAAAAGAGGTGAGGGGTGTATATTAAATTCTTATTAAAATATATTACTGTAGACAGCTTATTTTACCCTCCGAGGTTGTAGCTGAGATTCAAGATGTAATTAAAACTACTCACCAGGACTAACTTGGGCGCCAAATGACGGCACCAGGCAGTACTTCCCGCTAACGTCTTTCCTCTGGTAGTCTGTGACCGAGTCGGAATTGATGATCGGCACGAGTGAGATCTTCTCGACGGCGCCTTTGCAGTCGGACGCGTAAAGGACGCCCGTGGCGTTGCTGTAGACGCCGATGATGTCATCGGCCTGGACGGCGATCTGATCTGCCACAGGGACGTTGTAGCTCCATTTGTACCCGGGCTGACTCTGGTAGATCGTGTTGGAACCCACGTAGGTGTATTTGTTGCTGGGTGGGTTGGAGATCAGAACACACAGTTGATTACTTCGTATTAATAGCAAACTTCATGATATGTACAGTTTACTTAATGTTCTGTGAAGTTCTTTTATGGAAAATATCATCACTGATAAAACACGGTGACAGCCCATGGTAAATGTGAAAAGGAACTCAAAAGTTATTAAACTTTAAGTGACTTACGGGAAAAGTAGGAAATAATCTTCAATATTTTATTGAATGTCCCAGTAAATGTACACATTGATTAAACGCCAGTTGCTTAAACGCAATCAGTCTTTAGAGGAATTTATGATCATATTTTACCACGCTAAAAGGCATTTTTAATGCTGCATTTATGTTTTCCCTCTCAACCATTCACTGCTCGGAATATTTAAAAGTACCTCTAACTATCATTAAGATAAGCTTCAAAGTAAAACTATGTTAGGATTACATCAAAAGTTAGACATAGAAATATATCAAAACTTAGAGTTAGGATTACTTAAGAAATTCGAGATTGTATTATAAGAAAGTTAGGGTTAGAGTTAGGATTATATGAAAAGTTAGGGTTAGAGTTAGGATTACATCAAATGAGCTTGAGAAAATGTCTAACTTTAAAAACTATTAAATTGTACGTCCAATTTTGACGTAGGTACACCATGCTACAAATGTAACAATGACTTTTTACTTCTATTATTATTTTATTAACAACATGAAGCGAGTCTATTGAATACCTAATGTAGCTATTGAGACGAACCATGACATGGTGGACTGGAACAGATTCAAAGACTATTGCCTCCGTTGTTGGGCGTTTTTTGTTGTTGTTTTTTTAACCTAAATTATTCGTCAGCCTCACTGTGCTTTAAAAAATAAAAAAAAATAAAAAATCAAAAAAAAAAATCTTACTTTTTATTTCTAAAGACAAAGAAGCTCACAAGTCCAGACTTGCTAACATAGTAGTACCACTTTGTTATCTTGCCATTAAATGGTATTCTGATATGGAAATGAAAGAACATCTTTAAAATAAAAAAGAAAAGGATAATTCAAACAGGACGCCCCAGAAAAACCTTGGCTAAACCGGAAGCCAGAGAGGCCCCAGAAAGCGATTTTAAGAAACAAAATATTGCCTTAAATTATGTAGAAACAAAGCCGCAATAAATTGTATAAAACATATTTTTTTTTTTTTTTTTACATTCTTTTTAAAATTATTTTCTTTCCTTTGATGAATTTAGCCATATTGATAAAAAAAAATTGGTTCGATTTTGTGAATACATATCGAGAATGAAGCAATGCGTAGAGCTTAAAGACTTTACTAAATTGTTTGAAAATTCTTAGACTTAAATCAATAATGTTATGTCTATATATATATTTAATGTTTAAAGTTCAAGCTAAATATAATAAAAGAAATCGATTGAAGGGACTTTTCATTGTCAAAGCTAAAAACATCCGAACCTGTATTCGGGTATATCCATTATATAAGCCACTTTGCTGGGGAGAGTTTCAACCCTCTTTCTGACTTCATTCAAGTTCAAATCTACCGGAAGGGACGGACTTGCTGAATTGCACAGAAAAAAACAATTGAATTAATTTTAACCAAATGTAAATTTGTAGCTTATTATTAAAGCATTTATCTGACTGGGGCAGCATTAATACCGATGGCAGCATGTATATATCTTGGTGCAACATTACTCCTTAGGCCAATAACAAATTTGGTTGAACAGTATACCATTTTTTAAGGAATTAGTAAAAAAAATTGTTTTAAACTATAGAACAATGTCACGACAGTCCTGTATAGTATTTCGTTGACTTGAAAGGAACAAAAATTATATATTATTTACAACAGGGAAAAAAACAATAATAGACTCTATAAAATCAATACACATGTCTGTTAATAAATTAAAGATTTGGTAAGGATTAGTTTCTCCTACCTTGACACACAAGATTTGACCCCAATAGGTTGCCAGTGGTGGAGCAAGCTCTGACCTTGTCTCCCGACACATAGTAGAAGCCAGTACTACATTCAAATGTCATGTCTTCTCCTGGGTTGATCTTATTAGAGGAAGAAGTTCTCTTGACATTCGATGTATTCGGATCTGTGCAAGTTGCACTGACTTATGAAAATAAAGAGATCATAGAAACAATTTTTTAAATGGATAGTTTTCATTTGTTTTGTTTTTGTTAAATGTTAATAGTTTATGTGTTTGTTGTTTTGTTTTTTTTTGTTTTTTTAAATATACCATATTAAATAACGGGCCATAATTATTCTTCTGCGCTAAATCTGTGCCCTTAGACAGCCGTAAACTATAAATAATAGAGCTTACCAGCACATTTCCCACATGACTTGAAACAAACCATCTGGGCAGTATCTTTTGTCGTTTTGTGGTTACAAAATTTTGGAAAAGCGGCGATCCACTTCTGGCAATTATCATACATGTCTGCGCAAGTGCCTGGAGAATATGTGTTTGTTTCGTTTCATTCAAGTCAAAAAACAAAATCAAACAATAATATATTAAGTAATATGTATGATGCTATGAAATTGCAAAAACTACCCAAAAACAATGCACAGTGTATTACATTTGATTTATTTATTATTATCTCAATAAGTGTTATAAGAAATATGATTTTTTTTTCTTTAGTATAAAGTCCCACCACCCCCCCCCCCCCCAAAAAAAAAAAAATCTCAATGATACGTGCATTGACGTCGCGATGTTAAGTCCTATACACTACGATTATTAACAAACAAACGACCAACAAACCATTCAGAGATGGAAAGTCACATATATTGCGAGAAATTCAGCAAACACTGTTACTTTTCACATAAACAAAACGAATTTGTTTGAACTTCCAGTTTGTGAGCATTTACAATAGTATAATTAATAAAGGTGCAAAAATCGTACACATTTTGGTAAGCATGTCAACGTTGGAACTTAAGATCTTATGCTGAAAAATATGTTTAAGGAAACATCCATTTATTAATAAGATTAACAAAGAGAAGACAGTCACCGGAGCAGGCACTATTCAGGCGCGTCCAGCCTGATTCTGTGCAAACTATGTCAACAGCTGGACCTTTAGAGGTCGCACATTTGACCTTGACCCTCTCGCCTTTCTTGTAGGAAGATTTGACGTCAGAGACAAAAGTTCCGTCAGGTGGCGTTGTTGGTCTCGAGCAGGTAGCTTCATAATGAATGTCAACATTTAAAACATACAAGAATGTTATCATTTGACAGGGTAGACTGTCTATTGGATTTAAAACATACAAGAATGTTATCATTTGACAGGGTAGACTGTCTAGTGGAATTAAAACATACAAGAATGTTATCATTTGACAGGGTAGACTGTCTAGTGGAATTAAAACATACAAGAATGTTATCATTTGACAGGGTAGACTGTCTAGTGGAATTTTACATCAAAGATCAACATGCCTGAGTGCTAATCAAAATTTATTATTTTTTTTTTTTTAAATTGTTCCGATTCTTTTTTAGAATACTAAGTAGATCGCCAAAAGGGCGATTATGAATTTTTGTTAGCTGGACGGACCAGCAGCAACCTACGATACTGCAGCAAGGACCGGTACGTAAGTCACTGATTTCTATCGTTTTTCTATCCGTCTCAAGTTTTCAGCAATTTACAGGTCATAACTGAAGGCTTAAAGATCAGTATGAGACCGTGGAGTACCACTAGCATGGTATTTATTACATTTCATATAAATAAATATATATATATATATATATATATATATATATATATATATATATATATATATATATAAACATGTCTCTCTATTTTAAATATATCATTACTGAAACTCACTTTACAGTCATCATTAATCAGCTGATTTTCAAATAAACCTAAAGCAAATGACAGAATTTTAAACAAAAATGTACCCCGTGTGACGGGTGGCACGGCAAAGTTACATGACTTGAAGCAGGCGTTTCTCTGGACTGCAGATGAACAAAAAGTAGGATCTTGTGCAATGGAAGCCGCGCATGTTTTTACAACATCTTGTGGTTGAACTGAAAAAGAAAAACAAAAAAAGATTACAAAGCTTAGAGTCCGTTGAATTACTATCAAAATAGGAAATAACATTGAAAGAAATATAAATTTAAAAAAACAAACAATATATATATATATATGACAAGTTATTTAACTGACGATCTAAAGTTACAACATTTAAAAGAGAAAATAAGGTCAGAGGCGTACCACTCTACCAGGGTTGTCAATCAACCATACACTTACAGACGGTCGTTAAAACATTTGACCTCTATGATTGTCCGTTAAAGTCCGCAAGAAATCAATGATAAGCGTAAAATGTTAGAAAATACGATTTTCTTGAAGCAAAACGAATCAAAACATCTAAGCTTTAGCGAAACTTTTTGTACATTTACGTTATAAAATGGGATGCCGTCTCATAAATATGTGACATATAGTTTACGGTAAATAATATATTCAAAAATAGATTTACTTTAAAAAAAATCAAAACAATGCATTTTTCTTTAAATATGTCCGGAAAAAAAATTGTACTTAAAATATATGGAGATCTATAATATTTGTCATTAAGCATTTTTGTCATATTCGGCAACAATTGCCTTGACATGAAGATAACATTTGATTCACGTCACTGGGCTACAGTTGAATTGGCAACCCTTGCTCTTCAAATAAAGGTTGATACATGAGCCACATCATGAGCCACATCATGAGCCACATCATGAGCCACATCATGAGCCACATCATGAGCCACATCATGAGCCACATCATGAGCCACATCATGA